AATATGACTTTTTGTTCATATAACTGAAAGATATATATTTGTCTAAAAGAAAAATACATTTAACCTACACACAAAGGTTTTAAAAATAATAGTAAGTTAGCATGGAATATTTACAAAAGTGCACATTTAACAGAAGATGAAAATATTTGATGGGAAGTTGTAAAATCTTTGATTGCTTAAAGTACACCTTATAAGGAAAATAATTTGACCCCATACCAGATAAATTGTGGTGGGTTGTTTTTGTGTATATATGTGTTTTGTTGTATTTATTTATTTATTTTTGGTTATTTTGCTAGTTTTGTTCGTTTATTTTTCATATTCTTTTTATATAAAAATGACTATATGTATGTTTGACTTTATAGGTCTGTACAACAAGAATTACTAAATAGAACATGTTCTATCTTGTAAATCTAGTATTAAGGTTTATGAATTTAAGAAATAGTAGCCTTCGCATAATAAGATTTACTTGAACTCGTGTTGTACTTCTAAATCCTAAGTCTTCTGAGGCTTTATACTCGTTCTCGGAGCTAGATTACATATGTTAAATATATCCTTAGTTACTTTAATTTATATTTTAATAAAACAAAAGAACAACAAAAAGAAGAATTTAGTAGGCCTTTTTCCTTGGTTATAAATTAATTCCGATTATCAAACGATTATCACAATGATTTTCAAGTCCAACATGGTATTAAGGGGGATGTCTAAAAGGAAATATTCCTCCTATCCATATGTTTTAATGAACCTGTTCTTTTACTGATTTCTTTTAAAGATATGCTATTTGTTATAATTGTTATAATTCGATATTTTATACCATCAACTTCATGCACTATTATGCGATTTGTTATGATTTGATATTTTCATTGTCAAATTTTGTACTATTTTCTATAACAGCTTAAATAACGACAGTCTCTGTAATTAAAGACTTGGTCTATGAAAGTCAAGCATATTTCTGAGTAGGCCGTGATGTTTCTGTATTACGCAGATTGTGCCTGTACGAGAAAACACTTCTTCCGGTCAGTTTTACATACCTACGGACTACATCATAAAAAGGACTATAAAAAACAACAGAAAATGATATTTAAACCGGTCGGTATTATGTTTAATTGAGAAACACCAGTTAATGTCACTCGCACGAAAATCAGAATGCTGCAGTCGTGACTAGAACCACGGGTCTCTGGATTGCCGGTCCAGTATGCTATCATATGTCTTTTTTTACAAAATCTTTTACGAATCTGAATCGTCAAACTATAATAATATAAGGTCACATTTTGCATTTCGGCCATATAATTTAGCTTAAGTATTTACACGGGTTATTTTGTTAAACTAAACTATTTTAGTCATTGTTGGTGTTTTGTCAGTATAAAGTAGTCTTTTAAAGATTATATCTGAGTTTAACATCACAATCATTTTGTTAAAAGAAGGAAGAAATCCTATCATCAATACAATAGAGACATATGGCTAAGTATTTGTTCACATAGAAAACAAATTTGGATCCTTTTTAAAACTGTGTTAGTGTTTGACTCCATACAACTGTCTTTAACATTTAGTACTTGATTTAGAAAAAGATATCATTATCTGAAAGTAAAGTCCTTGTAAAAAAATGTCATACATTCAATTTAGTGAACAATACCATTTTTATAAAAAGACGTTTTCTTTTTAAAAAAAATATTTCAAAACGCTGTCTCCATTTGAATGACTGCCAGATTAACTTTGATATAACTGTAAATAATGCAAAAATCCTCAGATGTGTGAAGTTGGCGGCCAAGCGGCCAGGCGGCGTGAAGTTGGCGGCCGGAGGCCCAGCGGCTGGCGGCGTGAAGTTGGCGACCGGGCGGCCCAGCGGCTGGCTGCGTGAAGTTGGCGACCAGGCGGCCCAGCGGCCAAAAATTTTAATGTTGCAGAAATGTTATTTAAACAATAAAACGGCATTTAATGAAGTTATAAAGACATTCTTAGTATTTAAAGGATATATAAAAAGAAAAAAATCACTTTGATATTTTTATTTATTTTATCATTTCTTGTTAAGTCAGCGGCCAGCGGCTGGTGGCCAACATATCAATGTTGCAGAATTGTTATATTAACAATGAAACGGCATTTAATGAAGTTCTAAAGATATTTCTTATTATTTAAAGGATATAAAAAAAGAAAAAAATGACACTGAATATTTTTTATTAGTTTATCATTTTTTGTGAAGTCAGCGGCCAGCGGCTGGCGGCCAAAAGTTTTAATGTTGCAGAAATGCTATTTAAAAAGTAAAACTGGATTTAATGAAATTCTAAAGACAATTTTTATTATTTAAAGGATATATAAAAAGAAAAAAAATCACACTGAATATTTTTATTTTATTTTATCATTTTTTAGTGAAGTTGGCGGTCTGGCGGCCCAGAGTCTTAATGTTGTAAACGTTTGGAAAAAGAATTAAAAAACGACTCTTAATTAACTTTTAAAGACATATCTTATCATTTAATAGTTATATAAAAGAAACAAAACACTTTTTTTTTTACTCTAGCGACCTGGCAGCCAGAAAATTGTACAGTTGTAGAAATGTTATAAATATGATAAAAACGGGACTTTATGAAGTTCTTAAGACTATTCTTGATATTCAAAAGGTATATAAAAAGAAAAAAATAATTTTCAGATAACTTTTTCATTTAATCATTTTTGTGAAGTTGGCTAGCGACTTAAATTTTAATCTGTGAAAGTTTGGAAAAGAATTGGAAAACGACTGCTAAGTCACTTTTAAAGACATATCTTATTTAGAATATATATAAAAGAAAGAAAACTGACATTTAGAAAGCTTTTTTTCTCTATCGACCTAGCAGGCAGTTGTAGAAATGTTATAAATATGATAAAAACGGGACTTTATGTAGAGGTACATACCTTCATATTATGATGTTAATAAGAAATTTCGCGTTATATAAAAGATAAAAATATATTTTAAAAAATCATTTTTGATAATTTGAATGGCTCTTTATGTTGTTCTGTAGACTCATCTCGTCAATTATTGACATTAAAGTCAAAACACTCATTTTGATCAATCTTAACATTTTGACATTTTAGGTTTTTCATTTGAATAGTACCTTTTAAAATGTAGAAATTTTGCGTCTTTAGAGTCTTGAAAGGGAGTATCTAAAATGTCACATCACTTGTTTGTGAAATACTCGTGTGTACACGACGCAGGCATGTAAGGAATTCTAACCTTTTTCCAACACAATTGCCGATTCCGTTTTTGCGAAAAATAGTCTAATAAAAGTGCAATAATAGTATGTTTTATACATGTACTTTTAAATAATGAGCAAATACTGGGTTTTGTTTTAAGTTTAATGAAGTTTTAACAACATATTAAAAAGATAATACATACAGTAAAAATAATACGAGAATGGTCAACGGAACTATGTACCTATCTCGGTAAGTAATCATACATGCAGACATATTGCTTTAATGCAACGTATATACTTATATAAGCCAATAATATTAGAACCTATATATTTGTTAATGTAGTCAATGCACATTTTTCAATGACGGCTGTAACTACAAAACTATAAACATCTTCTCTTAGCTCCAGTGATCTTGACGTAAGTGATCCCTAACTTCACCCAAAGTTAGAGAACAACTGAAAGTGTCTCCCTACTAAATATGAAAGACATCGGTCTATAAACAAGAGCCACCGCCGGGCGGGAAAACAATCGGTTTTTTTACTTTTCTAAGAGCAAACAAATAAACGGTTTTAACAAATCCTTAAAAAGAAACTTGAAAACAAAAAATAATTTTTCATTTAGTTAATTTTAATAGGTTTGTTTAATCACACTTGTTGTTTTTGTCCAAAGGTGATGGTCATATCTAAATAACTCTACATGTGTGATTGGTCACAAGGGCTGTTTTGTCCACATATGAATCAAATATGTACTTAAATGTCAAAATTATGAAAACCAAATTAAATAATTTTACAGTCAAGGTCACTTTAAAGCTCAATGTCAAGGTCAGTGCAACCTTTAAAAATGTCTTGTCCAAAAGGTTATTTTGTCAAAGTATAAAAAATATCCATTGATTAATAACAAAGTTACAGCCAATTATAGCAATAATTTATTGTTTGAATAACATTTCTGAAACATTAAAATTTTTGGTCGCAAGCCGCTGGCCGCTGACTTCACAAAAATGATAATATAAAAAAAAATTCTCAAAGTGATTGGTTCTTTTTATATATCCTTTAAATAATAAGAAATGTCTTTAGAACTTAATAAAATGCCGTTTTATTGTTTGAATAACATTTCTGCAACATTAAATAGTTTGGCCGTCAGCCGCTGGCTGCCAGCTTCACAAAAAGTGATTAAATAAAAAAATTCTCAAAGTTACTTTTTTCTTTTTATATATCCTATATATAATAAGAAATGTCTTTAGAACTTCATTAAATGCCGTTAAGTTGTTTAAATAGCATTTCTGCAACTTTAAATTTTTTGGCTGCTGGCCGCTGGGCCGACGGCCGCCAACGTCACGCCGCCAGGCGCTTGGTCGCCGGTCGCCAACTTCACGCCGCCAGGCCGCTGGACCGCCAACTTCACACATCTAAAATCTTCATAGACGCTGTCATCTTTTAGAAAAATTATCGAGAATCGTTGAGTTACTATACTTTTTGAAATAATGGTTTTTATTCGTCCGACAGAGCTTGAACGAAGGCGAAAGCGGATGTTTAACAAAATATTAAAACAGAATAGCCTCATGTCCATGTAAATGCGATAAACAAATATTTATGTGAACAAAATAAAGTCAATAGTTGTGTACTTAATTAGAAAAGTGCATTTCATGCACATATAATCAATAATTAACTAAACCTTTAAATAATAAAATTAAATAATAAAACGCTCCATATGAACTTCATAACTTACTCAACAATAATGATATCTCAATATAAAAAATTAAACTAAGTTGTCTTAAATTTATTTAACATGAAAAGCATCAAACTAATATACATAAATCGATACCAATAAAGGCTAATAATATACCTTCTCTGCCATTCTGTGTCTTTTTTCTCTCTCTGAAAATCAATATTTGCAAATCAGATATAATTTAAGTAAACAATATAATATAAATGCATTTACATAAATAAATAATTATATGCCTTATGTATCTATGCATTTGATAATATAATAGAAAATGCTAATTTGTTATACTTCACATATGAACAAAAAAATGAAAACAAGAGAAGAAAATGCTTATTTAATTTGCCATAGATTTCATAGAGTTCGGCCTTTCGGCCTTCTTGAGCGTCATTTATTAAACATACAATTATATTCAAACAAAACCAAGGACAAGACGTATAACATCAAAAACTGAAGCCAGTCATGGCGTTGTGTGCCGTCCGCCGCGTTATTCTTTAGTGTTCAACATGCTCTTAATTTTGTTTTCCACATAATTCGTTATTGTCTTGCGGTATTGATCAGTTCCGTATATTAACAAGACTCGAACAAGTGATTTTGCAAACCTATGCGACACGGCTAAAACCATAATTATGTAAAAGTAAAATAATAACGAAGACGTTAAGTGTTGTTGTTTTGGTAATTAACACTGAGTAATGTCAGTTAAGACCATGCCTGTTAAGAAATGTGATTCTTAGGTCAACTCCTGTTCGCACAATCACATTTGTAACACATTTAACCAGTTATGAATGCGATCCCATTTGTACGAGTGGTATATCTTAATTAGTGGCAACTGCAACGCGTTTTTATAAATAAGCAATTCCTGTAAAAATGATTAGAAGAGTCCTTCAATATATTCACCACGGACCTCTGGGCACTTTTCCAGCCTCAGAATCCATTCCGTAAAAGAATTCTGAGGGATCACACTTGTTCAAGATTTTTATACTTCACAACAGCAGGTGTTAAGTGCGTAGAAGCTGTAAAACGTTGCCCCATTCAGTGTTTTTATATTTGTCTGGTCCTTCGGGATCATTGATTCCAATACTTTTAATTGTTGAAAATTGAGTTCATCTAGGGGCGTGAGGGATGTTGCACTTATTCACTTTCCCTCATGTACAAACTCAATCAAACCATCAATCAAAGTCTGCAATTTTCATGTAACTTTGTTGTGATTAATGTATCCGAGGGATCGCACTTTTTCCAGATTTTTTAAAAGTGCTTTGAGTACTAGTAAACTGTTTAGTTAACTGAAAATAAGCGGGATGTTGCAAAAAATTCTCTGCCCCTCTAAATAAGCTTCAACCAAGGCTGACCGTTGTGCAGGTGCATTATCATGGAGTTATATGATCCTGCGCACCCCGGGTAGTGTTTCTAGAAAATTAAACCATGACAATGTTCTCACTGCTGTAGTTAATCACTACATTACAAAGAACGCAAGGTCCGGGGTGCGCAGGATCAAATAACTCCATGATAATGCACCTGCACAACGGTCAGCCTTGGTTGAAGCTTATTAAGAGGAGCAGACACATATAGCAGATAGAGCGACACGGGCCACTATTCCATCACTGTCAAAAAAGAGCGTACATAACTCTTAACGTTCCTGCTATATCAACCAATAACTTGACGATCGATGTTTTCACCTTCCCAGAATTTGTTATTGAGTTTATTGTCGGGGTCAAAAAATAAAGCAATGTTTCAACATCTGAGATAATTTCTCTCCGAGGCTTCTTCAAACCGTTCCCTTTTACTGGTCAATGATACCAAATACGGGATCAAACGGGCGCACTCTTTCCTTAAAAATAACTTTTCTTTCAAGATGGAAACACATATGACGCAATTAGGCCCGACATGTCACTTATCTTCTCTACTGTTTATCTTGCATCTTCATCAACTTTAGCTTTAACAGTACTGATTTTTTTTCAGAGGTAGAGGAATTGGCCGCCCAAGAAGGGAATCATCATTTATCATTAGTTCTACTTTCCTTTTCCTTAAATGTTGACACAAACTTAGAAATATTACGATATGGAAAGGCATTTTCTCCATAGATCCGTTTTTATTTCTGACGTGCATTTACCAAATTACCCATGAATTTTGCAATAAGCTCTTTGCTCTTCTGTCAAATCACAATGCAAATCAGCTATGTTTACAACCAATATACCAAACAACATGTATCTAAATGACCTGCTAAAATTTTATTGCAGGTGCAAATCATGCGAAAAAAGACTGTTAGAATCTTTCCAACGTATATCAAATATGTACTTTTACGTGCAAATTATGGTTAAGTTAAGTTTTTGCCACTCATTAAAATATGCCCCTGTAAAATACGTGTTTCAAATGTGATCTTGTTCGTATGTGGTCCAACAGAGTCCAATATCGAACTTTATAATATCTCGAAAGCTGATCCAATATTAATAAAAAATACAGTTTATTGCAATTCTTCGACAATCTATCATAAATATATCTGACCGAGCAAGTATTTTTTTCCGAATTAAATTTGAAAAGAATAACAAAGATGAACATGAAAATAAGCAAAATTGGAATAATTGAATTTGAATAACAATTACCAGCATCGTGCGGGGTCACGCCTAACTTTTTCTTATTTAGAAAAAGGCAAATACATCAGATACATTGTGGAGAGAAGGTTCAAAAATATATTTATATAATGTATCGAATCAATATAAAATTTCATATTCCACCTGAGCAGTTTGGGTAATTTACAGATCAATGTCATATTTTAGTTCAATTTGTCGATGTTCAAGGTCCTAAGAGTTTGTTTAGTTTTTTGTCAAAGTATAAATCATGCCTGTCCATCAGCAATACAGTTATGGCAATTTGAGCTAATTTCAACACCTTGATTATGATTATCAAGCAATAAATCATGTAACATATCGATATGGCAATAAATATTGTTTTGCATAAGTATATATCGAATCCCACAATAAATAACAGAATAGTTACAACTCAAGCAAAATAATAATTATAATTTCACTTCAACGGTCAATGTCATTTTGTGGTTAAGGCCACATAATTTGAATTATTCAACAATAAAGTTAAAATATAAGGCAAATTCATAAATAAAATTATCACAATTTAATCAAAATGTTATAATGACCGCGACGGACTAGGTCATATTATTTGATTCTTCAACGTGCAATTTTTGACATTGGTATGAATATAATCTGTTAATAAAAAAGTAAATTATCATAATTAAAGATAAATTCAGTTAATTTTTGATTTTATCATTTTTGAGAAATTGGCGGCCTAAAAGTTTACGATTGAAATGCCATAGAAACAAAATAAACGGTACTTAATGAAGTTTTGTGTTATTGAAAAGATATATAAAGAAAACAAACTATATTTAGAGAACTTTTTATTTTTGTGAAGATTGCGGCCTAGCGGTCTAAAATTTTACAGTTTTAGAACTGTTTGAAAATAAAAAACGACACTTTATGAAATTTCTTTAGACAATTCTTGATATTTGATAGTAAATAAACAGGAAAATTCACTTTGTGTGAGCTTTTTAATTTTATCATTTTGTGAAGTTGGCAGTGTAGCGGCTTAGCGGTCTAACGCCCTAACTTTGAATATTGTAGAAGTTTGTAAAAGAAATTAAAACGACTCTGAATTAGGTCATCCAAACATAAGCACAAGTTGATGACACCACAGGAACTCCTAATGAAAAATGAACACCTCTTTCAAGGAAGGTTTGAGATAAGGTTAGGTGTATATTCATAAATCTAATCTTTAAACTACTGACCTTTTAAAGAATAATTATATTACATCTTTAGGACCGAAAAAAGCCGTTTATCGGAAATGGCGCCAGGGTTAAAAAAATCTATATAGCATAAACTCAATAAAAGAGAGTCTAAAAGTGTCTTATAGTTACTATGTACTGTTGCTCTCTATGGATCTCCACTTTTCCATATTACAGCAAACATATCGGAATACAACGTGGATATGAATATAGAAGTCAACACAAAAATTAAACGTATTGCGAGCTCGAAGAGCATGCATAAAGTCACGCCTGCTCTAAAATTTAGCACTACTGTAACGCAAGTAATTTCAAAAGTATGATGGTAATGAAAAGTTTAAACGAAACTTGTACTTGAAGTGGCGGGTAGTGATGGAAATTACTGATGGGAAATGCAATCTCTTCAATTTGGATGACATATGTAGTTTCCTTAAAGCAATGAAATAAGATTCTGAGCGATAATTATTTATTTAATCACAATCAAAATAATCCTTCGTATGAATTAGTTTTCCTATAATTATTGAATAACACTGACTCGAGAGTCGTATGCCATTACAATGACCAACCAGTCAGACGGTAAAACCATATTTCTAAAAACAGCATTTCTGGTAAAAATGACTTGAAAACTTTTTTGCAGTTTCTATATAAAGCGCGTAAAGTCTTACTTTGTAGTTTTTCTAGTGGTTTAACGCAACTAAACAGATCAAAACATTATCATGCTTAATAATACAGAATTTATTTTAGTTCGACTGTGTCGGAAGCTATAAGCTTTTAGACACACTCTCGAATCCGCGAAATAGAAATCATTTACACTTTAAATAATACACCCTTTGACATAAATCTGAGTTTGAATAGGCTAGAGGGAGTATTTGTCAACCGTCTCCACTTACCGTTTATTTTTCAAATCAACAAAGACACATTTCAGGATATATAGATTCATATTAATTTCTGCTATGACAAAAAAAAAATGCAAACTGCTTCCATATGACTTGTGGTGATAAATTTCAAAGCAAGTTCATCTGTTAAAACATGCCTTAATACTTCGTGCAAAAGGAATAAAAATGGCGTTCCAATATTTTGCGTAAAGGTGTTTTGCAAAAAAGACGTTTTTGAAAAAAAATAAAAGTTAGGTTGCTGCGAGCAGGATACCCAACCCTACTCCAACGATGGAGGGGGAGGTATTGTTGAGGGATAAATCCAGGCACAAGACCAGCTGCTCTTTCGAAACTACCTGACATTAACCCAATTTAGCGGTCTAAAATTTTAAGTCATATTAATGGAATAAGGAAAAATAACATGAATTTAAAAAAAAACTGATGCGAACAAGGCACATATCAATAAACTCATTTCATGTACATGAATACAAACAGAATGATAATATACAGTGAATAAAAAACAGAAATAAATGAATATTTAACCCTAAAAAGAAAACAGTTGTATGAAACATTTAACAAACATTCTGTATAAGCATACATCCCTGACCAGTGCAATTCTATAAATCGAACACGATAACGTTTACATTAATCTGTCATACCATTATGATGCAAGTTATTTGCAAGAAGAATTAAAGCGGATATGGACACGTAAATCCGAATAGCGTAAGAGAGTTCAGATTATGAAGAGTTCAAATCTGCAATTGTGCTGTCTTTTTTGCATGTTGTGAGTGTTTTTTTTTTGGAATATATATAAATATACAAAATATACAAATGAGCCAAAATTGTTCAAAACGTATTGAAAAACAAAGTTTCAAACAGAATAAAACAGATTAACAATACTATTAAATAATACATTCTACGTTGCTAAACCGTTATACGATTAACTTTAAATTGTGCAAGCGAATATGTGTAAAACTAAATGTTCTCAAATAGTATTGTGTGTGATCCAAAATCCAGTGTGTTGAAATTTTTTAAAACATAATATATAAGAAAAGAAAAATGCCTGTTCCAGGATTCGAGCCAGGGTCTCTGCACTCACGATGCAAACATTCCACCACTACGCTATTACTCTGACCGGATAAGAGTGAGCTAAGCAAAAATGCATTACAATTTATATAGGGAAACCAATGATCTGCTGTAATGCTGAACTGGCTAAGCAATCTATGAGGGCATTCCTAATTATGTGTTGGAATGCTCAGTCGGCTAAGGAATCTAGCGGGGCAATCCTAAATATAGAGGCAAATGCTCCGTTGGAATGCTCAGCTGGCTAAGCAATCTAGCGGGCATTCCCTAAATTTAGAGTCAAAGGCCCTGTTGGAATGCCAGCTGGCTACAAAATCTAACGGGGCATTCCAAAATATAAAGTAAAATACTCTGTTTGGATGCTAAGCTTGCTAAGCAATCTAGTGGGATATTCCTAAAAATACAATAAAATGCTCTGTTGGAATGCTCAGCTGCCTAGGCAACCTAGCGGGGCATTCCTAAATAGAGTAAAATGCTCTGTTGGAATGCTCAGCTGGCTAAGCAATCTAGCGGGGCATTCCTAGATATAGAGTAAAAAGCTGTGTTGCAACGCTCAGCTGGCTAAGCAATCTAGCAGGGCATTCCTAAATATAGAGTAAAATGTTCTATTTGAATGCTTAGCTGCCTCAGCAATCTAGCGGCCAATCCAAAATATAGTGTTGAAAATTTTTTGCTGGAATACTCTGCTGCCTTAACAATCTAGCAGGGCATTCATAAATATAGCGTGAAAAATGCTTTTCTGAAATGCTCAGCTTGTTAAGAAATCTAGCGTGGATTTCTTTTAAATATTATTGTGTAAAATTGCTTTGTTGAAATGCCGATCTGGCAGAGCAATCGTGCAGGGCATAATTAAGTATAGTGATTTAAATTTCCTGCTGGAAATCTGAGCTGCCAGATCAATCTAACGGGACATTCCTTAAAAAGGTGTTTAAGATGTGTAAAAATGCGCTGATGGAATGCAAAGCTGGCTAGGCAATCGAGCAGGGCATCCCTTAATGTAGTGCAAGAAATGCTCTGTTGATGAGCTCGACTGGCTAGGCAATCTATCAGTACATTCCAAAATAGTGTAAAAATGCTCTGTTGTAATGCTCAGCTGGCAGAGCAGTCTAGCGAAGCATTCTAAAATATAGTGTAAAAATTCTCTGCTTGATGGCTCAGCTAGCTAGATAATCTAGCAGGGCATTCGTAAATTATCGTATGAAAGATGCTCAGCTGGCTAGGCAATCTAGCAGAGCATTTTGAAAGATGGTCAGCTGTCTTGGCAATATAGCAGGACATTCAAAATTAAAGAATAAAAATGATCAGCTGGAATACTCTGTTGTTTTGGCAGTAAAGCAGGACATTCCAAAATAAAGAGTAAAATGCTCTGCTAGAATGCTCAGTTGTCTTGGCAATATAGCAGGACATTCCAAAATAAAGAGTAACAATGCTCTGCTGGAATGCTCAGCGGTCTTGGCAATATAGCCGGACATTCCAAAATATAGAGTAAAAATGGTCTGCTGGAATGCTCAGCTGTCTTGGCAATATAGCAGGCATTCCAAAATATAGAGTAAAAATGGTCTGCTGGAATGCTCAGCTGTCTTGGCAATATAGCAGGACATTCAAAAATAAAAAGTTATTGCTCTGCTAGAAATTTCAGAGGCGTACCTACCGATACACCAATACGGTCGTATAAAAAGAAAAAGTTTCGAAAAAAATAAAATTTCAAAAATGAAATAATTAATTTGGGCGAAGATCGATGAGCATATTCGTAGCTGCTAATTTATTCTACAGGTATGCATCGGATGTTACCTTATTCGAATATGTGTTACCATTTTATGCACAATCGAAACTTCAATTATGAAGAAAGGGATAAACAATTTCTTTGGAATTTTTTGTTTCTTTTTTTTCAGCTTGAGTTAAGCTATATATTGCTAATAAACCTAGTCAAAATCCAAATAAGGATTAGATATTGTCCAATATATTACAATCGTTTTTTTAGAAGAATCAAATCAGTGAAAAGTAAACATTTATTTCGACATGATGTGTCTTAAATGGTTAAACATTGTTATTACATGCTTTTCGATGGTTTATAGAAATACATCAGTGAATTAAAACTGATAATTTCACTGTTTGATAATTTCACTGTTTTGAATTTAAGCCCCTTACGTTGTTTCCGTGAAATACCAGCGTACACAGAACTGGAAACCAACTTAATAACGTGACGTCGTAAATGACGTCACGTTGTATAATTATTTGGCGCGCTATTCATTTAGTATTAGGTTAAAATGTCCTTTTCAACGTTTGTTTGCATATAATAAAAAAAAATTGTTTAGTTTAGTGTAAGATCGAAATATATTTCACCTCGTGAACACCAAAAGTCCACATTTCACTTGTGGCTGCGCCACTCGTGAAATATACCTTTTGGTGCTCACTCGGTGAAATATATTCCGATCTTACAGTGTAAGACTGAACTTAACAAATATCCTCAATTTCTCGTTGTCTAAATGTCTAAATTCTTTTATTTTCGCCGACTTTAGATAACAAATTGGCTAGTCTGATTATACTTACATGCTTTATGAGGCATTCAAGTTCGTAATGAAATTTCGAATGGAAATTGAAGGACTAGAGTTGAGAACAAAAATGTTAAAGACAATACTTATTGTTTACAACAATGACATTATACGCATTAAAAATATTTTAAGGAAGCTAAATGATCGGGCGATACTACATTTTAGCTGTGAATACGATAACTTTTCGTGACACTAAATATTTAAGCCGTTGTGTTTGTATTAAAGACATACTTATCATTTTAAAGCATATTTTCCTTGATTATATCTCACGTTAAGTTATGGTGAAACAAATACTTATCATTTTAAAGCATATTTTCCTTGATTATATCTCACGTTAAGTTATGGTGAAACAAAAGAAAAATAACAAAGAAAAAAACTAAACTTGTTACAAAAGGAAATGAAACCCATCTTTTTACAAGAGAGACACCTGGCTATGTTTTGTTTTTTGAACTACTTAACAGTGTACACGTTAGACTTCATGCTATTTTATTTACATTCAATATATGTACTTGATGTTATTTTCATAACTATTGATAAAGACAATAGAAGTACAATTAGCTTAAATATCCCCTAAGTCCTTAGTTATAGCACACAGCTATATTTAATATATAAGTCTCTGGCGATCCTTACGCCAAAAACCGGCACTCGGCGTACACTCATAATAAGCGGAGGTTCCGAATGCTCAGCTGGCTTTCAGGAATTAATTGTGCCAATGGAGATAATTACATTTTTGATATCTTGTGACCATCCAGAGTCCATTTCGTTGGTCTGCCACTGATTATTGGGCACTTGCAGACTTTTAGGAATTGTTGGTGCTTATGTAGATCATCACATTATAGAGTAAAAATGCAAACTGAATCGGTGGATCCTTAAAATTAAAAAATGTCATAATCTGCGATGGCACCAAAAAACTTGAAAGTATGCGAGTCTCAAAAAACCAGTCGCAGATCAAATAAATTGACGGCGGTCCCTAGAAGTAAATAAAATTCATTATATCCATCGGCACCAAAAATTCCTGAAAGTCTGCGAGTGTCCCAGAATCAGTCGCAGACCAAAGAAATGGACTCTGGCGGGTCCCTAGAAATAAAAACAGTCATTTTCTCCATTGGCAGCAACAATTTCATAAAGTCTTGTCAAAGAATCAGACGCAGACCAAAGAAATGGCGGTTCCCTAAAAGTCAAAAATGCCATATCTCCATATATAGGTAACCTCGAAGAACTCGAGATATACACGAGTGAAATTAGTTTCGTTCCTCTTCAGATATCAAGAAATGGTAAGTACGTGTCGAAAAATACAGGTAGGTCTATAATCTGACTGAAAACCGAGGAATTGTTAGAGTTTTATAAAACTACTTTGTTTTCGGATAGAGACAATTGTTTCGGATGTTTTGTCAATGTAGTGAATTGACTGAATTCTAGTTGTTTAGCTTTTAGTATTATATAAAAAAATCATTGGGAAACACTTTAAATCTTGTGTATATTAAAGTTTTACTAAATTCGGACATTGCACAGTAATTCGGATATTTCTTTCCCTTCCAGTTTTATCAAGATTTCAATTAAGGGTTTTAATCAATGAAATAGATGGAAAGATGTGTGCAAAGTTTAATAGTATTGTTCTATTCCTTAGTATGGAGAATAGTATCTTTGTGGGCAAGGCACTAACACTGTCATTCTTTTCCTTTTTCAAATATATATACATGTAAATATGGTACCTCGGAAATAATGATTGAAATAAAAAAAATTAAAAATAATATCTGAATTAATCATTTCACAGGGAAGAATATGACAAGTATAGGATATACAGCTGTTCACAATGGACCATTAATCAACTGTTTGCACTGCCAATCATCCTGAAGTATCTATACATCAAAGGTAAATACATGTAAAATAATTTATTATTTTAGTTGAGATTGGGAAGATAAACAATTATCAAAATATTTAAATTTTAATTATTTCTTATTTAACTGCATGATAATTGATAAGTTAATTAAACATGAAAAACCGTTTCATTGCAGACTTAAAATAAATACACTGAACAAAAGTTCTAACCGATCACCCTGAGATTTCGCTTATATGTGAAAAAGAATAATACCAATAGATCCGACTTTTATTTTATTTCGAAGAGAATGAACACATTGAGAATAATAAAATTATAACATTTTTCTATTTAAAAAATACTTTATCGATATTTAAAAAAAAAATAATTTATGAACAGCCACTTACCTGTCTGATAGAGGCTCCAGCATTCAACATACCAACTGCTACGGCACGATCCTGCATCGACATTAGTACCATGTTTTATGTTTTTTCACTTATAAAGTTAACAAGGATTTACGAAATGTAAAATTTAATACTCACCACGCTCTGCACAAACATTTCGTGCCAAAATGTGTAAACCGCGCCCTGTCTCCCGCGTGAGTGCATTGAACCGTATTAAATTATTTTTCATTCCACAAATCGGTAGAAAATGACACAAAAATCACCTCTGCAAAATTCTATAAGGATCTATTGACCCTTTATAAAATAATCAAAATTTAAAAAGTGATCGGTTAGAACTTTTGTTAAGTGTAGTTAATCTTGACAATTATATATTATGTGTTGTTGTTAATCTTTAATGTATGTTTACATCAAATATGAAATTTGCTTGTTCTTCTAATTAAAACTCATGTAAATATTATTTCTAGTGTTTAACCCAATGAAATATATTTAGGTCTTACACATTTAACAACAGATTTATTGATTTTTTTCTACAGATACAAAGATGAAGGAAAGTGTGTCCATTGTTGCAACTACCATCTTCCAGTTCCTTAATTTGAGAATAATATAAGAGAACACACAGTTACAGTGAAATCTTAGTTTAATATCAGTCACTAAGAATAGTAGACTGTACTTTCCTAAAGCAGCTGAATGACATGCGGCACAAAAATCTTAGTGTAAAAGAGTATGATTTTATGGTGGTTGACACTATGACACCATAATCTAGTTAACTTGTTAATGTCACAATGATTGAAGCAGAGGGAAATATCCGAATTTCATTTCAGTTTTAAGTATTGAAACAAGATACTCTATATATACCAAAGTAGAAAACACACCATATATAAAGATTTTCATGGAATCACAGTGTTGTCATATGTCATTATGAACAAATGACTATCATGTAAAGATGAAAAAGAAGAAGAAAATGCAAAAATATAATATATCTTCTACTAATAATATTGTAAGTGTATTCATTGATAATCTTTTAAATTTGCATTCAAAGCTTGATATCAAGCTGACCATTTTTCAATTAGAATATGATTTATAACTCTATAATAATATGTTCATGTCAACTTTCAAAGTCTTTACATTTGTAAAAGGAAATATTTTTATTCTTGTATCAGTAGACATTCTCAGTGTAAAGTTTCTTGATAACATTTTCAAGTGTTTTCCTGAAGTTTTTCTTTCACTGGAAAATAAATGGATATACATTTGTATTTGCAAAGCAGTGCACTATAAATTGTGAAAAAATAAAAGTTTATTCAACTTATGAGATGTTTTTGTTTCTACTATTTGGCATATATTTATAGCAATACTTGATCATAAGGGTTTATCTGAAAAATAAGTATGTACTAAATTCGCTTAATTGCTTGAATCGCAAGCATTGGCAATAATAAATAATATGCATGCCATTTGAATTTTGTCTGTCCTGGAATGTCCAAATAATAATTATTAATGAATAATTCTGAACAACTCTTCACAGGGTTTACCAATGACTACATTTATTAATATGTATATGGACAAAAGTTAACAGCATTGATTTATTGCAACATTGACAATTTTGAAACAGTCCGAATTAGGGTATTTTAATGTAGCAGTGATGAAATTGTTGTGTATCATATGCAAATACCAAATGTTGCATATTTTGTTTAGATAAATCACTTTTTGGTCAAATATCAACAAGTTCAATACATTATAAAACAGGTAATTTGAAAAAAAGAAGTATATGATAATAACTGCCTCTCTGACAATAATATCTTTCAAGGTATGCAGAATTGCATTGGTCTTTTCCAATTGTACAATTGTGTGGTTAAGAGACAGAATTGGGCTTTCAAAGCCTAGCAAGCTAGTGTTTTGCTACAAAATACTCAACAAGGATGATTTTCATTAATAATGTTTACTCTGGTATTAACTACCTAGCTGTCATGTATAATAATGGTTTTAGAGCATGTCACATGCTTATAATCGGAAGAAAGAAGTGCAGTAAATAAAATTATTAATCATAAAAGTAACAAAATTTACACAAAGAAGTATTTTGACTTCCATACAAAATACTTTATCAAAATAACATTACAAACTGCAATAAACAGAAGCAAATGATGGTTCAGGTAATTGCAAATAAGTAACTTTTTTGAAAACTATATCAGGACACCAAATTCAAAGCTTTTGAGAAATAAAAATGAAAGCATCTCTGATGAATTATGTGCCATTACAACTCCATTAAATCAATTAAAAATAAAGCATTAATAAAATGTTAATAGATTACATTACTTTTAAAATTTATTGTGGTAAAATAAAAATCAAGATAGAAAACTTTTAATCTTTTTAATCATTCATCTTTTACCATTCATATCACCTTAGTTACAAGTCTATTTATAACAAATTCATCTGAACTGTTTTGAAACTACTCTTATGCCTTGTTGAAACTGCTTTGGACAAATGACAGGTTATTTATTTCTAACGAAAAACAGATACATGTATACATTTTCACACAGACATATATCTTAGAAGTGTCTTCAATCTTAGTATTTTTTAGAATATAAAATATTCAGTCAGACTGTTTACATAAGCCATGGAACTTTAAGAAGCTTTAATTCGGTCAAAAATATGTTATGGACTGCCATGTCTCTACCATTGTTTAGCGCATGGCTGTGTATAGACATTTTCTTTCAACTATAACTGGCTGTATCACTAGTTGGTTTCTAATCTGATGGTGAACACTCTCAAATAAATCATGACAAGTACTCAAGATCCAACCATGAAACCACATACCTGCATATAAAGAGATAAAAGCAGTAATAAGTAGTCAGCTACAATGTCTATCAATTTCATATCTTAATTCAGTATTGTCATGAATAGAAAATAATGTTGAAAAGAAAGAAACACTTCTTGGTGTCCTTGTCTAGTTTATAAAGATTTGTTTTGACAACTGCTCTTTTAAACAAACAAATTATGGATTAAGATATGATAGTGACTTAGTTCTATTAACCAATTACTGAACATGATTTAACTAAACATTTAACCCTCTTTATTGAGAAAAATACTTAAATCAGTATTTAACATGAATACACTACATATGCAGTACTGTTTGTTTACTTAGCTACACTGAAATTACATTTGTATGTACAAAAAAACGAGAACATGATGTTATACTAGAATATTTATATGTATATATATATATTTATATATTTATTTATTTCTTACCACAACGATAATGCAGCAGCTACTGTACATCATGTCACGTGTGTTTCAACAAGTTACACTGACGCCTTTCACCTCACCACTGTCCTCGGTCTAAATATCTACAAAAGCAAAATATTTCATTTAATTTTATGACAATTTAAATTGGTTAGACAGATTGACTGTTCGTGCTTTACTCTATTTTCAATTGGAAGAAAATATATTCAACTTAAACAGACTGATAATCATTGTTCAAACTTTATATACGAAATATACGCTGTCCGAAACATTATACTTCTGATAGATAATCAGGTCGCTCTATAGAAAATCGATAAAAATCAAATTCGCCAGTCTGAAGTCAGATGCAAATGAAGTTGTATCAAATAAACAAATTTATTAGATTAACATGAAAATGAAATATTTTAACATTTATTGGGATAAACTAAATTCGAAATGACACACCCACCTGGAGATCATACGAAGTTTCTTATATTGATGCTTGTTCACAAGATGAAACCATTTGCATTTTGTTACAAAACAATTTTGTTTGTCAATTTCCACATATCATTCGCTTTTCCGAAGTTTTCTTTCCGACCGGCATACAAGTATTACCCAATATAGATAATCAATGTTGTTGATATTTGTTTGTACCCGGAAGTGCAAAATATCGTAAAATCTCGCAAGTCACATGACGTGACTTACATACCATATTGCCACCAAAATTCCTAAAAGTTTGCGAGTGTCCAACAATAACCGCAGGCCAATGACTCTTTAAGGTCCCTAGAAGTCCAAAATATCATTATTTCTATTGGCACCAAGTATTCCTGAAAGTCCTTGAGTGCCCCAAAGGTGCATAGAAGTAGAAAATGTCAATAAAACGTTGGCAACAATAATTCCTTAAACTCTGCGAGTGTTCCAAAATAAGTCTGCCAGCTAAGCGTTCCAGTACAGCATTTTTAAACTATAATTCAAAATGCTCCGCAAGATTGCTTAGCCAGCAGAGCATTTTTACACTATTTGTCAGATTGCTTAGCCAGCTCGGCATATAAAAACAAGTTTGTACTATATAAAAGAATGCACAGCTATATTGCCTATCCAGCTTAGCATTCCAGGAGAGCTTTTTTCAATATATTTTGGAATGACCCGCTATATTGCTCTGTCATTGCAGCATAGCAAATCTTGCACTACATTAAGGAATACCATGTGTAATTTCCTATCCAGCTAAGCATCCCAGAAGGGCATTTATACACTATATTAAGGAATGCTCTGCTAGGAAAACAGCTTCAGTATTACAGCTGATCATTTTAACACTATATTTAAGAATGTTCTGATAGATTGCATAGCCAGCTGAGCATTCCAGCGGACCAATTTACACTATATTTAGAAATGCCCTGCTAGATTGCCAAGATAGCTGAGTATTACAGCAAATCATTGATTTCCCTATATAAAATGTAATGCCTTTTTAGGAATGCCCCGCTAGATTGCTTAGCCAGATGAGCATTCCAACAGAGCATTTGACCCTATATTTAGGAATGCCCCGCTAGATTGCTTAGCCAGCTGAGCATTACACCAGATCATTGATTTCCCTGTATACATTGTAATGCCTTTTTGCTTAGCTCACTGTTCTCTGCTAACTTCTCACATACATTACAGTCGAACATATTTCAATATTTTCGGAAATTTCACAACATAACCTTGAATTCCTACTTTACTTTACTACTGTGCACCAAAAAACATAAAACCAGATTATTATTTCCTTATAATGAAATAATAAGTTACGGTGTAGGATTCCGACAATAACAACATTTCATGATAATAAATTTAACAACAAATTTTACATGGCCGTGAAGTACGCGGGGTAAAGGGCTAGCAGTCTAACGGACTAACAGTGTGAACTGAGCGGGCTAGCAGTCTAGCGGGCTAACAGTGTGAACTGGGCAGGCTAGCAGTCTAGCGGACTAACAGTGTGAAATGGGCGGGCTGGCAGTCTAGCGGTCTAGCAGTGTGAACTTGGTGGGCTTGCGGACCGGCGGGATAAACTCTAAAACCTAACTGATTCAACATGAAAACGTTATTATACATATCCTAGCAGTGTGAAGTGGGCGGGCTAACTGTGTAGCGGGCTAGCAGTGTGAACTGAGCGGCCTGGCGGACCAGCGGGGTAAACTTTAATACCTAATTGAATGAACATGAAAACGTGATGATACTTTTCCTAGCGGTTTGAAGTGGGCGGGCTAACATTGTAGCGGGCTAGCAGTGTGAACTGAGCGGGCTAGTGGGTCAGTGGGCTAAACTTTAAAACTTAATTGAATCAACATGAAAACGTTATGAAACATTTCCTAGCAGTGTGAAGTGGGCGGGCTAACAGTGTAGCGGGCTAGCAGTGTGAACTGGGCGGGCTGGCGGGCCAGCGGAATAGACCCGAAAACCTAACTGATTGAACATGAAAACGTTATGATACATTACCTTGCAGTGTGAAGTGGGCGGGCTAACAGTGTAGCGGTCTAGCAGTGTGAACTGGGCGGGCTGGTAGGCCAGCGGGTTAAACTTTAATACTTAATTGAATCAACATAAAAACCTCATGATACATTTCCTAGCAGTGTGAAGTGGGCGGGCTAACAGTGTATCGGGTTAGCAGTGTGAACTGTGCGGGCTGGCGGGCTAAACTTTTATACTTTATTTAATCAACATTAAAACCTCATGATACATTTCCTAACAGTGTGAAGTGGGCGGGCTAACAGTGGTAAGCGAGCTAACAGTGTGAACTGGGCGGGCTGGCGGGCTAAACTTTAATACTTAATTGAATCAACATGAAAACGTTATGAAACATTTTCTAGCAGTGTGAAGTCGGCGGGCTAACAGTGTAGCGGGAAAGCAGTGTGAACTGAGCGGGCAGAGGGGACGGCGGGCTAAATTTGAAAAATTAATTGACTCAACAAGAAAATGTTATGAAACATTTCCTAGCAGTGTGAAGTCGGCGGGCTATCAGTGTAGCGGGATAGCAGTGTGAACTGAGCGGGCTGGCGGACCAGCGGGATAAACTCTAAAACTTAACTGTTTCAACATGAAAACGTTATGATACATTACCTG